TTCAGTTATCTGGATTTGTATAAAACTGACTTCCAGCTAAGAAAGGAGAAAGGGAGAATAATGCAAGTAAAGGGAGAGCATATGAAATGGCTGAATACCTGAAGTGTGCAGCTCCTTGCTTCTGCTTGTAGAAAGTAAAAGACATAGTTGCTGTCCTGGGTGCTTTTGGTATAGTTTAAGAGGCAAAGCATAAATAATACTGCTGGGAGGGGATGAATAACTAATAAAAATGTTCCTGGACAGAACCAAATTAAGGAGCAAATGAGGGGATACAGAGCTGGAAGGGTCTGAGAGAACCTAATTTGGTTTCAAAAGTCAAGCTGGATTTGGTTGAGGGTGGAGGGATTTCAAGGTACGGGGGAAAGCAGTGCTCAGTCTGGAATTGGCAGCAGAAGGTTGGGTGTTGGTATGTTTGCCAGTATAGGCTGGAAAGAGACATTAAGGCCAGACTGGTGACAGAATTTTGGTGATGCTCTAGGAAGAATATTCATCAGACCCATGTGAGACATTGCAATTTTTGAGTGTTTGAACTAAAACTTTTTTTTTTTTTTTAGTAATAGACTAAAATATTCTGAATACTGGGAGTTTTACAGCTAGAGTCCTGATGCCTTTTTCTTATTTACTGTTAAAAATCACTGTCTTTAAAAGGCAGAGTTAGTGAGAGAACTGGTTGCCCATATCAAGACAAAGAATGTAGTTTAGAACATGTCTGTTGGCCCAAGATTGAGTCATTTGGACATCTAAGTAGAATTTGGAGACTCTTTCCTGTAGAGCTGTCTGGTTATGAGCATTGTGGTGGCATAAAGGTGTTGAGTGCTTTCGTTTGATGGATTTCCATTGTGGAACGTTGAGTGAGTTTGTATGACGCTGTCTTGCAGTATTTTGCACTGATGGCTACATCTGGTCTGTGCACCAACACTGAGAGGTATTTTGTGGGAGGAATATAGTTGCTCACAATAATATCTGCTTCCACTTTAGTTCTCATGACCTCCTGATATACTCAAATTGACATTTTCAGGAAGTATTTACTGAGCACCTAACCTGCTATATGCCAGCCTCTTTCACTCTGTGGATCAGCCTTTTCCATAAAAGTGCTCTCTTTTAGTACTTCCCACCAGTATGGTGCAAATTCTTATTTGTCCTTTCTGTGCTTAGCATACCATTCATAACCTCAGTCTCTGACTCTCTCTTATTTGCTTCAAATGGTTTACAGCTATTTCTGTCCAAGGAGGCTTATAGAGGGAATGCAGAGAGAACTACTCTCAGAAATCTATATTTAAGAGGAATTTCCAGAGCAGCTTTGTTTTTGTTTTCGTGAGTGGAACCTAATTCCTACTCCATATTTCTTGCCCCCAACCCTTGACATTGACTGCACATGCCTAAAAGAACAAGGCCTCAGATAGAGGAATGAGAGAATACCTGAATGAAAAAGCAAGCCCTGGTCCATAGTCCAGAACCCTTAGTGAACTTGAAAGAAGTGTGAGCCTGAGCTAGTTAACTCTCTCCCACATAATTCATAGCTGCTAGAATACCCCTTACTTTATATTGCTTGCTAGTGACCTAACTTATGAGGACTGCTAGGGATAGGATAGTTCTTACCCCCAGGACAGATTCTGCCCTTTACGGTTAATTCTGTATCTGATCCCATAATCCGTAGTAACTTCAGAATCTCTCCTGACCTGAGTCAGGCTTTTATTCTAGAGAACTGACCATGGGAACATCCCAATCTGTGTTCTAACATTCCCTGCTGTTTGAGTACATGAAGTTAGAGTTCTTTTTGGGCCACCGTGCCCATTGTGGACAAGTAGACCAGTGAAGGGTCATTGGTCTATTAGCTGCTCTGGACCAGTGGAGAGCCTAGGAGCCTGAGTTAAAAAGTTTCCTGGTTATCTAGGATTTGAGAAAGAGATTGGAATAGAGATTGAGACTGGGGGAGTTGATACAACCTAGCAATTAGTGTGTTTGCATGGCTGCTCTGTTTCAAGGACCCATGGTGAACTCAAAGTTCTGAAGAGAGCTGAGAAACAACCTTAAAAGCAGCCTTTGCAATCTAAAAAGCCAGTTCAGCTTTTTATATATGAATTAGTTTTCAGTTTCAAATCTTACAGTTTGACACACAGGCCTGGCAAGTCCTTGTTACTGTTGTCCCTTCTGTGCTATTTGTTTTTCTAGAAATGCATGCAGGAACTGATTCCTTTTTTGGAACAATGTAAAGAACCATTCTGCTTCCCTCCACTATGGCCTTCCTGTCCAGCCTTATTGTACAGAGTGGCTGGGCCATTCAGAAGATAGTTACAGCTCAGAATAGAGCCTAGCCTTGAGGGCTTCCTATAAAAGGAAGAAACACCTTCAAATTGGGAGACTATGTGAAGGCTCTGCTGCCTTGCTTGTCTGAGCCATCTGTCTTGTGAGCACTGGAGGGAAGCAGGAGCAGCTATAACAGAGGAAGGAGGGGTCAAGATCTGTATTTCAAGCAAATCTTCCAGTTGTCTGAGAATGTGCAAGGGAGGTTGGGGTATCTTATATCTCAGAAAACAGGGTTGGTTCTTGGCTGGCAGTGAGGTGTGACTAATGTATTTGAAGTTGAATTGGGGGCTGCACTCTCAAGTCACCCTGTGACCTAATAGGAATGTCCTGGTGTGATCTGGAAGGGTTTCAGTTTCCTCTTTGAAATGAGTTTTTTAAAAAAGACTGGCTTGATTTTAACAATAGTGCCAAAGCCCCCCTCTACCCTCATATACACAAAGAGTGCATTGTTCATGTACCCAATGTGCTCTAAATAAGACACCAAATCAGATGCAGCAACCCAGTCTTGCATAAGCCTTGGTTAGAATGTAACTTTTTGAAACAACTAGGCCAGTAGCCAGAGCGGAATTCTTTAAATGGGACAGCTGTCAAGAGAATGGCTAGTCTCCTCTAGCACCCTTCCAGAAAAAAGCAAATCTGGGATTACAACTTCCAGTGCCCTACTTTAAAGAGACACTACTCTGGAAGATGACTTTATTTATAAATATTTTTAAACATAAAATCCAAAAAATATAACTCAGTGAAAATTACAATGCATGATGGTGGCCCAGTGGCTGGCTGTTGTATACAGTTCTTGCCCAGCATTTGTACCTAATGGTTGACTGACCTATTGAGGTGGCTTTATGACACCTTTTACATTCATGATGGGTCTCAAGAAGTTAACAGCATACTTTAACATGATGGAAAATGCTATGTAAAAAAAAGTAGGTTGTAGATTTATCAAACTTCAGAGGTTTTGTATAAAAATATGAAGATACTTCAAGCACCTTAATAGACACAACCTTTGAGAGGGAAGGGTACTGTTAAAATACCTTTTCGGATATTTATACCAGGCTTAAGACTTGTTCGCTAGTTTTCCTTGAAATAGGAATGTACTGGAGTTTTGTCTTCTCTTTCAGCCCTCCAAAAATGGAACCTCGTGGTGATGTGCACCCATTTCTGGTTAGATTGTCTTTTGGTCTGTGGGTGGTAGTTTCCCACCTAGCCTCTAATGAGCAGTGGGGAGCAGACTGGCCTGTGCCTGCATCAGTTGTGAGGTCAGAGGATTGAGGGGTTAAGAGCAAAGCTTGGAATGGAAGCTTATACCCAGCACAAGCCTGGCTCTGAGGATTGGGGCAGGCCCCAGCCATCATAAGGGGAGATGAGAGTTAATCCCTAGCTGCTTCTTTAGGTTGAAAGTCTTGAGAATAGGTGTACTATAATAGAGAATAAATCTCATGTTTCATGGCTGCAGAGAAAAGGATAGTGTCATGCTCTGTTGCTGAAACAGCTTATTCCCCAGGGTCAAAGCTTTGAAAAAGAAACCCAGTAAAAAGTATCTTTATTCTCATGTTAAAAAAGTTTTTCTATGATGATGCATTAATACAAAAATACGTTGAACACTACAATAGTCCTTTTTTTCTCAAGACTTCCTGTAACACTACACTATAATATATGATCTTTGGAATCTGAGAAGCCAGTGGCTAAAGTAGGAACTAAAGGCTTTTGTTGAGGGGGGATGTGTGGGTGCAGGGACAGCTCTTTTTCTTTGGATTCAGGCTATGTACAGTGAGGAGGCAAAAAACAAGTTAAATTAAAAAGTTTTTTTTTTTTTTTTTTAAGGCTCAGGGTTGAAGCTTGGCTCAGAAATAGGTTAAAGTAGGCTGTGGTGAAAAGCCACTCTACCACTAGAGGTTTTCTGGGCTCCTTACTTTGGTTATAATGGTCCTCCTTCCTGCAGCCCCCTAGGGAAACTAAAGCTGGCCTGGTTTCATGCTGGAAGATAGACACTGACTGTGTGAGGTTTGGTTTGTCCCCTCATAGACGCCTAATAGCTGGCTAAGAATTAGGTGGTTAAGCTGGAAATGGAACTTAAAAAGGCTCTCAGAATGGGGAGGGATGGACACCAGATTTCAGGCCATGACTTCGTTGGATTGTTGACTCTAGCCACTAGTGACAGGCGTGGGGCTTTGGTATTTGGGCTTCTTAGGTGGTGAGTTTCTCAGTAATCATTTCCAAATAATTTGAACTAGAGTCAGATACCCTCACCACCCACACCTGCTTGATAAGGTAGTGTCAGGTTATTCTGTTGCCTAGGGTGACAGGCCTAAACCTATTCCATCCCCTCCTCTTACAAGCTTCTGAGAATGTGGCAGGAAGATTCCTCTTGCCTACTTAATGAATGGCAGCTGATTTTCTGTAAAACAGGGCTTCTCTAGGTCCTTAAGAGAGGTGTCCTGAACTTTGTGGTTGTGACCATACTCACATGTTGTTTGATAAACCAGCCCATTCTTGTTCCATGAAATGTCTGGTATAAGGAGGGCATGGTAGT